TTTTTTTGGTTTTTCTCCAGTACCGGGAACCAAACTCACGACCTTGTGGTTGCCAGGCAGGCGCTTTGCCGCTGAGCTAAATCCCCAGCCCCTAATTTTAAAAACTAACTATAGGCTTACTCACTGTTTTAGAAATATTTTACCTGTTTAGGAAAAGAAACATTTGGCTGCAAAGTATTTTTAAAATGTTTCACTGGATTATGGCTAGCATTTCTGCATATCTTTATGGAAAGTAGTCATTAGCTTTTTAGCAGTGAAAAGCATCATTTTTTCTTTTTGTTTCTTCCTTTTAATTGTGCAATATAATCTAGAATTTTGTACGTTACTTAGGTGTAGTACTTTTATTAGTTTTCAGAAACTAGACACCTTCAGATGTATTCTGTATTAAATGTGAGCATATGAATCAACATTTTCTCTCACAGTACTTTATATTTCTTCATCAGTAAATCAATTTAGTAGTCATCTGATTTTCAATACCAAGTCTGGGGTACAAAGAATATACACGTACGCATTTATAAATAGAAGTGAATACATGCATAAGTCATTCTCTGTCTTCTCTTCTGGCTCATGACACATGTATATTATCCATTGTCATCCAAAGCTGTTTACAACATTATATACACTTAGTAGTATATATATTTTGTGGTTAGGAGCTACAGGGCGATAGTAAGCGATTTTAGTGCAAATAGAAACATACATTCTCAGAGTTTTCTTTTTCTTTTTCTTTTTTTTTGTCCTGGGACTCGAACTCGCGACCTCACGCTTGCCAGGCAGGCGCTGTGCTGCTGAGCTTTATCCCCGGCCCAGAGTTAGCAAGGTTTCTTATGCGCAGGTCCTTAAAGGTCTCCATCCCATGGCGTTCAGAGCTGATCGCTTGCTTTGCTAGTGTGGTTTATACTTTCTGTGACGTCAGGTCCGAAGCGACAGGAGCTGCCACCAGTGCTGTGAACAGACTGTGAACTTCTGTGTCTGCCCTTCACCCACCCTGGCTGTGACTCACTTCTGCTTTATTCAAACCCAATCTAAGTTTTAACTTAATGGCGCTTTTGTATGGTTTTGATTAATTTTAGTTTTTAACGTTTTGTTTTCTTTCTTATTAGTACATCTTTGCAGTCCACGCAGTTTGCAGTCATCTTGGACAGTGTGCATATGCGCATGTCTTTCTGAGTCCCCTTCCCCTTTGATCCCTTCCCCGCTTTTCCTCTGGTTCTCCATCGCCTTTTTCATGCTTGTTGAGATCGCTTGTCTTAGCTCCTGTTATGCGTATGCTGTTTACATTAATTGGAGTTACTAGGTTGCCGTATGTGGCATATCTTTCTTCCTCTCATTTTCCCTTCCTCTCCTCTCAACCCTTGCCCTTGTTTCCTGTTATGGCTTCCCTATCATTTTCTTTGTATTTTGCCTAACTCAGGTGAGAACTACCATGCGGTATTTAAACTTGTGTGTCTGATGCATTTCACTCGATATTATATTTTCCAACAGACATCTCCAATTCGTTTTTCTTCACAGCACAGTAGTATTCCATTATATACAGATGCCGCATTTCCTTTATCCAATCAACTGATGGTGGGCATGCAGGCTGCTTTCAGGATTTAGCTATTAGGGGTTGTGCTGCTCTAAACACTGGGATGCAAACGTCTCTTTAGGATGACGACTTAAGCCTTTTGGGGAAGACACCTAGCAGAGGAAGAGCTGGGTCATATGGAATTCCTATCTCAATTCTGATTTCCACAGTGGCTGTATTATTTGCATTCCTGCCAACAGCGCAGGAGGGCTCCTTTGTGCCCCAGCCCTGCCAGCACTTGTTGATGTCCTAACGATTGCCATTCTTTCTGGAGTAAGAAGGAGACTTAGGGTTGTTTATATTTGCATTTCTCTAATGGCCAGGGATGTTGAGCATTTTTTCATGTGTTTGTCATCCATTTGTATTTTTTCCTCTGAAGTGTGTGTTCATTTTTCCAGCCCGTTTCTTGATTGGGTCTTTAACTTCAGGTGGTTTAGCATTTTCGAGTTCTTCACATGTTCCAGATGTTAGACCTCTGTCTGAGGAGAAACTGCCAAAACGTTTTCTCCATTCTGTATGCCTTCTCTTTTCTGATTAACTTTTTGGAAATAGTTTTAATTCTCAAGTAGTAATTGTATTTGTGAGATGCAGTATGATGTCCTGATTTCTACTTACATGTCACATAAGTGAATCAACCGGATTATAATATATCCATCAGCTCCTGTACCTCTCCAGATGGATGACTATGAACAGGGATTTTATTTAGTAACATTTAAAATACAATGACAAAGAAATATATTTCTTTGTAACTAATGTGTTCAGTCAGAAGCAGGTGCTGATTAATACTGAATGCTGTATATGTTTCCGGAGATAGGTTTTCCTCTTTCAGAAAAGTGACAGAACATTTTAAATGCTATCAAATTTTTATGATATCATTAGAACAATTTTTTTTGTCTTTTTGAGACAGGGTCTCACTATGCAGTTCAGACTGGCCGTGAGCTCACTTTGCAGTCCAGGCTGGTCTCGAACTCACAACAATCCTCCTGCCTTAGCCTCCCGAGTGCTGGGATTATAGGCATGCACCACCGTGCCCAGCCTAAAACAATTTTTTGTTTAAATTTTATTGTATTGATAAGATTATTTTAGCTATTTGAAAAACAAACACTTCTTTATTTTCTCTGTTCTGTTTAACTCAAGAATTTCCTAGTAGAGCAAATACCTAGTTTAGATCAATCTAGTCTATAAATTCCTTCAGCCTCTATATGAAAAATTTGATATAAACGTATCTGTGAGAATCATATTTAAATTAAAAGAACTATGGATAGTTCAAAGATATAATAGGACAATAACTACAAAGATATTGGGCAAATACAAATGAGCATGCATCTATAGTAATTTTATTAATTTCAGGTGAATTGAATGTATAAAATGCATGATAAAGAATGATAAAGAAAAGGCCTATTTCATTTATAATTTTGTGGAGACTGAAATCATCACTAATATTAATTGCCATCTTACAAATTTAACATTTAAATACAAAAAGAAAAACAGATGCAGGGCTTGAGATGAAGAGGTGGAGAGCAGAGATTAGTGGGGTTAAGAGCAACAAGAAGCGACAGTAGGAAAATTCATGAAATTATGTTGAGGGATTCCAACAACGCTTTCTGAAAGGACTGTGTATTAGTGATATTAAAATTCAAATTACCAAGAGAAATGTGTTATTTACAGAGTTCTCACTCTGACAATTAAAGTGCAATGTGACAATGTTCAGTGCTTGGGACGTGTTCCATGCTAGAACACTTGTCTGCTATGGAGAAGGTCCTGGGTTCTATTTGCAATAGGGCAATAAGAAAAAGACTATGTATTCTTCTTAACCACAGAGGGAACATTGTCAGGATTAGTGCAGTCATTAACAAGTCTCAACAGAAAAGATGATTAAAAATCATAGAAAGAGACTCTCTTGCTGAATTAGATGTCTAGGAGGAACTTCTCATTGGCTCAAAGCTGGAAGCCGTAGGTGATTTGAAGAGGTGCTGTTTAGAATAAGCACTGCCATAGAGGGTGCTTTTTGCATCAGTACTATTTTTACAATTAAAATGAAAAAGGATGATAAAGCTAAAGTTAATGACTCATGCTTGGAATCTCAGCACTCACGACGTCTGGGGCATGATGATTCCAGATTTTAGCCCGGGGAACTCAGTGACTTAGTGAGACCCTGCCTCAAATTAATGACATAGAAGAGCCTGGGGTTTTACCTCAGTGTGACACTCCATGGGTTCAACCCCAGTACTGAAAAAAAAAAAAAAAGATAAATTTACAACCATACAATGCAGTGCTTCTTAGGTTCTTAAGATTTTCATTCCAGTCTCTCCTTTATTCTTCTCCCAAATGTGTTTGCCTTTCCATTATCTCATCTCCTTAGGGGCTCTGAAGTGGATGTGAGCTTCCTGAATTTTGATGGTGGCATGTTGTTAACTTTCATGGGGCAGAGGCTTAGGCACCTTGATTGCCAGGTTCTGCAGCCGCAGAAGCGTCTCACAGATGCCATGTTGTTCTGAGTGTCCCAGGCCTTTCATTTACCTTCCACCACCTCCTCCTCCTTCTTCACTGATATTTGCACTTCTTGTGAATGTCACTGCTGCAATATAAAATATGTAATGATATATTAATATGTGCATTAGTTTTATTTCTTGAGACAAGAGAGTATTTACAAAACCCATCATAAATCCAATCTCTTTTCCCATTCTTCCATTTCCTTTGTCAATTGGGGCCAATTCCTTTATGCAGGAAGAAGTTAGTAAAAGCCTCCAGGAATCTAAGTTGTACAGTTTATGTTAAATATAAGATCAATGACAATACAGGAGCCAGCACTTACAAGAAAAGATTACATTTTCTGTGTGCTTATCTTGATTTCAGGTAATGTTTAAACTTAGCTTTCTGTACAAAAATGTACCAGGAGCTGCATGTTCAAAATGACAATGATTTACATTACATTTTTGGATGTTATGAAGATTAAGAGAGTATCTGCATACTAGTTTATGAGTGGTCATGTCAGTTTGTCCTCTCATGAAAGAAGGATGAATCTGTTTGAGTTCTCTGCTGGGACACTGACCTTGTTCATAAGACACTCACCATTATGACCTAAGTAACCATTTAATATTACTTACCTTCCAACACAGCCTTCTAAAGCCACCATGTCCAGGTTTAGTGTTTTAGGACACGAATTTTGGAGAGGAACCCAAGCAATCCATTCATAAGTGGTATTACACTGGGTTTGAGGACAAAGATTTTGTCTTTTCCCTAAGGATGTCTATGCTCTCTGTGCAGGCTTATGCCCAACAGTTACCAAAATGTTCTTGCTTTCATTTTTGCCATTGAGGAGATCAACGGGAGTCCCCATCTTTTACCCAATGTGTCTCTGGGCTATGAGTCCCATAACTCCCTGTATAATCATGGGAATACAGTGCAGAATGTCCTCACTTTGCACACGGGACAGCATGGGATTCCTAACTACATTTGTGGGAGAGAGAGCAAGTCTGTAGCACTGCTAACGGGGACGTCCTGGGCAACGGCTGCTCAAACTGGACCACTGCTGGAGCTCTACAAGTTTCCTCAGGTGAGGAGGGATGGGTGTGATGAAGTCAGGTCTGCTTTGTTGCCTTTCTCAGGTTTCCAAAGATGGTAAAAGGAGGACACTGAGTTTAGGTGTCAGTCTCAAACAGTAAGGACATAGAAATTAATGGGGAACCTGAACTTTCTTCACCTATAGCAGGGAGGAGGGAGGGGGAAAGGAAACAGGTTTCCACAAAGTCAGAGTCTGATCAGTTACTGAAAAAATAAAGCTCTGAGGAAGTGAGGTCATTCCATACACGGGGAGAACAAGTATCTCCTTCTAGTTGTTAATAACTTTCATGTTTATGATTGTGCTTTGCTTAAACTTTGTTCACATCATTTCCGGTTTTCTTTGTAGTTGACCTTTGGCTCTTTTGACCCTGTCCTGAGTGACCATGGCCAGTTTCCTTCTCTCTATCAAATGGCTCCAAGGGAGACATCTCTGCCCCAAGGCATGGTGTCCTTGGTGCTTTATTTCAGCTGGACCTGGGTGGGGCTGGTCATCACAGAAGGTCCAAAAGGTCTTCAGTTCCTCTCAGATGTGAGAGCAGAGATGGACAGGAGCAGAGTCTGTGCGGCATTTGTGAAAATGATCTCAAATGATGCTCTATCATACATGTCGCATACACAGCAACGTGAATTCCTGGCCGGAGAATCATCTGCTGTAAATGTGGTTATCATTTACTATGATGCTGAGAGTCTAAATGATGTAAACTATAACATAGGGCTGCACTTAGTGACGTGGAGAGTCTGGGTGACAAACTCACAGTGGCATGCTGACCTGACTGGGAAAAAGTTCATCCTGGACTCATTCCATGGGACTCTCATTTTTTCAAGTCACCACGAGGAGATTTCTGCATTTAAACATTTTATCCAGACGGTGAATCCCGCCCGGTACCCAGAAGACGCTTTCTTACACCAGTATTGGTACTGGAATTTCAATTGCTTGATATCTGATTCCGACTGTGCGCTGAAGGACTGCACACCCAACGCCTCTTTGGCACGGTTGCCTGCAAATCGCTTTGATCCGGCCATGAGTGACACGAGTTACAATATATACAATGCTGTGTACGCTGTGGCCCACGCCCTGCACGTGATGCTTCTACAACAAGTTCAAATGCAGCCTGTAGGAAATGGGGCAAGGAGCACATTCTCCCCCTGGCAGGTAATGTGTCTTCCACTGGGTGGTGTGCCCTGTTAATGTGCTCCAAACCACTAGTTCAGAATCCTTTCTCAAAAACAAGGAATTCTGCACTAATTTCTCTTTTTTCTCCTTCACTATTATATGTTTGCAATACATAAAAGCTTTATTCATCTTTTAAACTGGTTCATGCATATTTCACAACTTGATCATTTTCCCCTTCCCCTTCTAGTCTCCCTTCTTCCATTCCCAAGTTCTTCTCCTGTGTCTACCCTCTCTTCCTCCCTTTTTTGAACGTCTCACTTTTGTGCTTTTAACTACTTATATTTTTCATTACTTTCAGTTTCTGTTCATTTAGTATGATGTTGGCTGTTGGTTTGTCAGAGGTGGCTTGTATTAGGTGGAGATAAAGACCATTTATTCCAATTTTCTGTGCAGTTTTATCATGAATGGGTGCTGGATTTTGTGTATTGCATTTTTTGCCTCTGTTGAGATGATCATGTGTTTTTTGTCTTTGTCTCCATTCATACTGTGTATTACATTTATTGATCTGCATATGTGGAACCAACCCCGCATCCCTGGGATGACTCCTACTGGGTCATGGTTTATAATCTTCATGATGATTTGCTGCACTCTGTTTGCCAGAATTTTTTTTAAATTTTTAAAATAAAAGGAGGAAAACATTAACAGACAGACAACCTTTTACAAAATAGCAAAAGAACAGTACAGACAATACGGAGTTACAAACAAAGTGGTAGGAAATTAACAATGCTTGTTGTATTACATATTGAGATCTTCAAAGTGGTTTCTCATGAAAACAGATAGAGACATGCAGTACTGATCAATCAAGGACTCATTGACAGTTTCTTTCAGCAAAGAAATAGAAGACAGTAGATCAACTAAGTTAACTGTCCTGTATATACATACATACAAAATTTCTCCTTCTTTCCCTTCTCTTTTCCCACATTCCAGTTGCCCTTTACCCTTGAGTATTTTCCTATCATTTCACAATGTCTGTCATACCTCTGACTTTAAATTAACTCTTTCAGGTTTTACACTAGTGAGACAATGCGGTGCTTGCACATGCAGGTCTGATTTATTTCACTTATGAGTATGGTCTCTAGTTGTGACCATTTACCTATAAAGGCCTTGAGTTTATCTTTCTTTATAGCTGAGTAATATTCCATTCTATAAAAGTACCACAATTTTCTTATCCAATCCTTGGTGGATGGACATTTGGGGTGCTTCCACAATTTAGCAATTACAAATTGTGCTGCTATGATCATAGGTGCACATATATCACTGTGATATGATGTTTTCAGATCTTCTGGGAAAGTACCCAGAAGGGGAATATCTGGGTTGAATGGGACCTCTAGACCTAGTTTTCTGCATTAAGAAATCAACCAATAACAAATGCTGGTGAGGCTGTGGAGAAATAAGAACACTTCTCAACTGCTGGTGGGAATGCAGACTGGTGTTTGTCAGCATTTTATTGAGGATTTTTGCACCTATGTTTATTAGGGAGATTGGCCTGTAGTTCTCTTCCTCAGTTGGGTTCTTCTGTGGTTTTGGTATCAGGGTAGTTCTTGCTTTCAGGAATGAGTTTGGGAATACTGGTTCCCTTTCAATTTCATTAAAGAGTCTGAGAAAGCAGAATCAGGTCTTCTCTAACATTCTTGTAAAATTCAGCATTGAATCTGTTAAGATTAGCACTTTTATTTGTTGGTAGGTTTTTAATTATATCTTCAATTTCACTGACAAACTTTGGTTTATTTCAAATTTTTATATCTTCTTGATTCAGCTTTGGTAATTTGTATGTATCTAGGAATCTGTTTATTTCTTCTGCATATTTCGTCTTATTAGAATACAGGTTCTCCAAGTAGGTACAGATGATCTTCTGGATTTCTGCAGGATCTGTCATGATTTCAGCCTTTTCATTCCTAATTGCATGAACTTGAGTCTTTTTTCCTTTTTGACTAGGTTGGTGAAAGATTTGTCAATTTTACTTAACCTTTCAAAGAACAAATTCTTTGATTAATTAATCTTTTTATTGTTTTCTTAGTCTCTATAGCATTAATTTCTGCTCTGGTCTGTATAATTTCCTCCCTCATATGAACTTTGGGATTGACTTGCTCTTCTCTTACTAGAAGCTTGAGGTTCCACATTAAGTTCTTTCTTTGAGCTCAGTCTGTATTCATGACATGGGTATTTACCCCGTAAGTCTTCCTCCTAGGACTGCTTTCATTGTGTCCCATAAATTTTGGTATGTTTTATTGGTATTATCATTTAATTGTTGAAACTGTCTCATTTCTTCTTTAATTTCATGCATGACCCATTGGTTGTTCAAGAGGATGTTGTTTAATTTCCATGTATTTGTGAAGTTCTTGTGGTTTCTTTTGTCATTAATTTCCAGTTTCTTTGCACTATGTTCAGTTAACATGCTAGGATAATTTCAATTCCTTGCATTTCCTTAAGTATGTTCTATCAGTTAGTATGTGGTCTCTTCACTAATATCCCATGTGCAGCTGAGAAGAATGTGTAGTCTGATGTTGTGGGGTGCAATGCTCTATAGACATCTACTAAGTTCACTTGTTCAAAAGTTTGGTTCAGTTCTAATGTTTCATGTTTCATTTTCTTCTCTAGTTGAGCTGTCTATTGTCCAGTGGAGTATTGAGATCCTCCAATACAATTGTAGTAGTGCTTATTTGATTTTTCATGTCTGTTAATATTTGTTTGAACATTTTTTTGTATATTTATTTACCATTAGTATTCATCATCTGAGAAATGTGTATTCATCTCAGCTGCCCATTTTTGTATTGGGTCTTTGAATTTTGAGGGCCTGGTTTTTGTAAATTCTTTGTATGTTCTAGATAGATGTCCTCTGTCTGAGGGGCAGTTGGCTAAATTTTTTCCCAGTTCATGGGATTTCTTTTTACTCTGTTG